AATGGGCCAAAAGTCCGGACAAAAACATGAACAATATTAATTACTAACTGGGTAACCCTGTGCTGCCTGGTTTGTTTTTGTGGGTCAACAACATTCCAGTTAAGCCTCGCCACTTGTACACAATATCAATATGGGAACTTTGGTCAAGTCTCTAAATGACCATAAGTACTGAGAAATTGTCTCATGAGTGATTTTCTTCCATCATAACTATGAGAAAAATTGGTTACCATGGATAAGTAATACAGACAGACATATCCACTATTCTGAAGGACAAGGAACATATTCGTGATGTAGTGAAAGGAACAACACCTATAAAGGGAACTATAATTTCAAAGAAAAGACAAGGTCTTATTCACGATATGGAAAAATTATTGGTGATATGGATAGAAGACCAGATACAGAAGCGTGTACCCTTAAGCCTTCTAACCTTACAGGCTAAAGCAAGAAGCCTGTTCCAAAGCCTGAAGGAACAGGCAGGAGATGAATGTGATCAAACCTTTACAGGAAGTCATGGGTGGTTTGATAGATTTAAAACACGCTACAGTCTACACAATGTTAAGGTGAGTGGAGAGGCAGCTAGTGCCGATGTTGGTGCTGCCGAAGCTTTTAAGGAGGAGTTAGATGAAGTGATTGTGGAAGGGAATTATTTGCCTGAGCAAATATTCAATGTGGATGAGACTGGATTATTGTGGAAGTGCATGCCTGAGCGGACATACATCCACAAAGAGACGAAAACAATGCCCGGATTCAAGGCATTCAAGGACAGAATTACACTTCTGTTGGGGGGGAATGTTGCTGGTTTCAAGCTAAAGCCCTTCATGATCTATCATTCAGAGAACCCCAGGGCTTTAAAACATATCAGCAAGCACACACTGCCAGTGTTCTATCACAGTAATAAGAGAGCCTGGATGACCTTAGCACTGTTTGAGGATTGGTTCATGACTTGTTTCAATCCACGAGCCAAGGAGTATTGTCTGCAACAACAGATTCCACTCAAAATTTTGCAGATTTTGGATAATGCTCCGGGACACCCACCACACCTGGACGACATGCACCCTGATGTTAAGGTAGTGTACATTCCACCTAACACTACCTCTATCATCCAACCCATGGATCAAGGTGCTATTGCTGCCTTTAAAGCGTATTATTTACGCGCGACCTTTGCTTAGGCTGTTGCTGCTACTGAAGGTGAGAAAATGCTCAGAGAGTTTTGGAAGGAGTACAACATTTTGTCATGTACAGTATAAAGAACATTAGTGCAGCATGGGATCAGGTTACAAAACATTGCATGAATGGAATATGGAAGAAAATCCTGAAAAGATATGAGCACAGTTTCAAAGGATTTAATGAAAATGAAGTTACTTCGGATATTAGTAACAAGATAGTGGAGTTTGGTAAACAGCTGGAGTTAGAAATTGATAATGAAGATGTTGAACAGTTGGTTGAAAGTGTAGCAGAAGAGCTAAGTAACGAGAATCTTATTAACTGGATGCACAGAAAATTGCAGAGGAAGAAGAGAGAAAATGTAGAAGAAGAACCTGCACCCCCCAAAAAGTTTTCAGTGAAACATACAGCAGAGGCATTTGCTACAATTAATAAAGCAATGCAAATGTTTGATGGCATGGATCAAAATTATGAGCAGTATGCCAAAGTTGACAGAATGATCCAAGATGCACTTGCTTGCTTCAGAGAAATTTATAATGAAAAGAAAAAACAAACTGTGCAGTCTAAATTGGACATCTATTTTAAGAAGTCCCCCATTGCTGTCTCCTCACGCCCCACCAGTGCTGCCTCTTCACTCCCTCAAGATGATCCAATGGGTCCGACTAATTACCCAAATGTAGCCAAATGTAGCCGGAATGAAGTCAAATAATGGTCCTAGATGAATAAATCGGACTGCTAATCACTTCTCGACTAGTATTTGGTGTCAGAAAGTCACAAAAAATTGGAAAACTTAATTTAATCTGAGTTAATAGATCGAGTGCATGTACCTAACCTAATCTATTCTAACCTAACCTAACACAACTCAGATTAAATTAAGTTTACCAATTTTTTTTTACTTTGACACCAAATAATAATCTAGAAGTGATTGGCAGTCCGATTTATTCATCTAGGACCATTATTTAACTTCATTCCGGCTACATTTGGCTACATTTGGGTAATTAGTCGGACCGGCCCTGGCGGGTTAGTTCTATATATTAACCAAAATCTGAAATACCTATTGGGATAAAAACAAACATTAACCCTATTAATTTTGTCATTTCGCCAATCCGTCGACGGCAACGAATTACTTCTTACTACAAACACCAATATAAACTACACTAATACCAAGGCAGCATAATATATAAAATGACGGAGTTTATCTTTGCAATTACCTTTTTATAAAACATCTTCGCCTAAATGTACATTTGATGACGGAATAAAACTCTCAGTAACTACTTGTTGGGTTGACAAACTACCACGGCGGTGGTTAACCAACTCTGACATCACATATAACTTAATTATGTAAATAAAAATACCAACAATTTACTCACCACAGAGGACAGTAGCGACATAAGCTTGTGTTTAAATAACTTGATATAAAATACTAAAAATTCAATCACCACACAACAGCCAGTCACAACAGGTCCTTCCCTCACGGCTCACTCAGGCTAATGGCTCGTTGGTGACGTCACAATGGTGTGTTATACCAAGGAAGGAATATATAGAGAAACTTGTACTACATTCAATTAACGTTCAGCCTCTGACTGCTGCGCCATCTCTTGATTTAATTTTACCATAAATATTTAAGGCTATCATAGAAAACGTGTAAATGTCAAGGGGTCGAGCTTGTCTTTAGCGTAGACTCCTGTCATAAGCCATATACTTTTTCATTCTTAGCAGCCATTGCATAAATATACATGAAGAAGAGGCATTACCATGTTGTACAGTACATGAAATAACATAAATAAGTGACTTAGGCGGTAGATAAATAAACCTGTAAGTTAAGAAAACATCAAAAGCAAGTGGGCAGGTAGACCTAATCTTCATGATATCCACAAAAAGTAGAAAACAGTAATAAAAAGACTAAGTTTCAGGTTTCAGTCTTGAAAATATATATAATTCAGTGTGGATAAGGCCGAAATACATTACATGTTTGAATGTTCCGATAAGAATCACACACACACACACACTATAATTTCTTTAAATTTAAGACAGCATACAGCTTGTTAAAGTTTATCTCTCCAATCGTAGTATGAAGACTTCACACTACGATTGGGGCGATAAACTTTAAACTTTGTGATAGTTGACAATTACAATCAAGCTGGGTGGAAAAGTTAAGTGAAACCAGAGAGAAAAAAAGAGGAGAAATACATATTCTATTTGGTTTGTGTTGTAAATAAAGGGAGATCCTATATATCCATCCCATTTAGATTGTTGCGAGAGAAACATATGCAGTACAGCCCCAAGCAATAATACATTAGCATCCCAACTTGAAAAACAATGTAATCCAAACCTACAACCCAGAATGCAGCCACTGTACCACTTAGGTATAAGTGCAGGCAACTGTACATCAGTGATAAAATCAATTGAATTCCTATCTGGATGTAGTACACTTTTCGTATTTTGGTTCAGCTCACCTGGGCTTTCATGTACTGTACTGTACTAATCAATCATACTGTACTTATCTCAATAGTGTCCTGTCCTTTTCCTTCATCTTTTCTAAGTACTGTATGTGGATAAACCTTAAGAGAATAGAACAATCTTCACTGAAACAAGACATAACGCAGAATGTATACAATGTACCATTTATATTTCTGCTCACGAGGATAATTTGGTGGACTTTATTAAATTTCTTGGAGATATATAACTGTCAACAATTATGTCTTCCAGAATGTTAATGATTCATCTCGTATACAAATGACCGACAAACCGTTATTGCTCTTAATTAGCCTTCCCGACTGGCTCATGTGTGTATATACGTCACTGAGTTAAGTTTTGTCGAGTCGTACCATTACAAGGCAGTTTTACTCTTAAGTTCTTCCTTGATGTATCTTAGGTGCTTTTCCTGTATCTTAGGTGCTTTTCCTGTATCTTAGGTACTCTAACTGTATCTTAGGTGCTCTTCCTGTAACTTAGGTGCTTTTCCTGTATCTTAGGTGCTTTTCCTGTATCTTAGGTGCTCTTCCTGTATCTTAGGTGCTTTTCCTGTATCTTAGGTGCTCTTCCTGTAACTTAGGTGCTTTTCCTGTATCTTAGGTGCTCTTCCTGTATCTTATGTGCTCTTCCTGTATCTTAGGTGCTCTAACTGTATCTTAGGTGCTTTTCCTGTATCTTAGGTGCTCTTCCTGTATCTTAGGTGCTTTTCCTGTATCTTAGGTGCTCTTCCTGTAACTTAGGTGCTTTTCCTGTATCTTAGGTGCTTTTCCTGTATCTTAGGTGCTCTAACTGTAGCTTGTGTGTTTATATCAGTGTTTATTATCATCGAGGTGTTTATACATGGACGTCAAAAAGGTTAATGAACTTCTTCCACACAAAAATGAAAAGCATGTGGCGCTTAGTACAGTATTTTCTTATATCAACAATAAGGAGTAAATGTTTAATGAACTGCTACAGAAACAAACTTTAAAAAAAGGCCCTTGATGAGGAAGCTTTTCTTATGAGCTTAATTATGTTTGTTCTGCATCAATACATTGGATCATTAAATTATTGGATGTGATTAATCTTTCTCCTCTAAGGCGAGTTTTGCATGTCGCTCCCCTACCGCGGTTTGTTCGTTCCCCTGCATACTTGGCTTCGACGTCTCTATACGGTCAAATAACTATAATATCATTTCCACTGTAAACCAGATGATAATATATTTATTTCAAAGAGCATGTTATTCCACGGAGTAGTAGTTTTTGATAAATTAGATATAAAACGATGGAACGAAGTCAACACGTCAGCGGCTTCACAGGAATCGGACGCGGCAAACTAAATATTGTAGGAGGGTTGGCGGGGTAGCGCGCGTGGCCTGGGAAGTCGGCAGCAGTTCTTTACCAGCCGCGTCGCGTTAAACAACCTCGCCTCCCGCCTTGACGTCGTGGGAGACACACTTAACTATTACCGTCTGCTTTATCACTCGGCTATAAAAAACCAGAGATAGGAAAACAATACAGTAAAACCAAACGATTTTATTCACGAGGGAGACGAATGCAGTGTACTGTAGTGTGTGTGTTGTTAGTGTTGTCATAGATACGAGTTGAAGAATTGTACAAGTAGGTCCAGGATGGGGAATATACAGAGGGATTAGCAGCAGGAGGCGGTGCTGGTGGGTGAGGGAGTGATGCTTCTGCTCCTACACAAGGTTGATCAATGATGGAGTGTTATCGGCCACTTGGTCACGGCGGCGTCTTCACTACACACACCCAACATGAGAGTCAATTATGTGCTGGTTGACTCCTCCTCGATGGTGACTTCCTCCCCACAATGTGAAGCTTGTGATAACCTGTCCCAGAAACACCGCCTAGAAGTGAGAGAAAGCAATGACCTATTTTACTGTGCACAATGTTTGTTAAACCTGACCTCATTGTCATCATCACCGCCTGAGTGGACATAGTGAACTGTATGGTGAGTCCCCGGTGAGGAGGTTTTATCCTGATGTATTCCTCTTACCGAAGACACACACTCCAGATGAGTGAAGCTCAGCAGGGGGTGTCTCCCCTCGTCAACCCCCCCGGAGTGTGTTCCGCCTCACCCCCACCCACCAACACCACCCTGGGGGAGAGGAGCAACACTGCCACGGGACAAAGGGGCACAAGTGCCACAGGGGAAGGAGGCACCACCAGACAGGACAAGACTAAAGGTGACACACCCAAGATCACCGTCACCAAGAGCACTCCTGTACCTAAGACCCCTCCGTCACCCTCACCACTACCAGCCTCCACCACCACCTTCCAGTTCCCCGTCATCCTGGAGCCGAGCCGCGTCAAGTTCACCACCAACCATCCCCTCCCCCTAGCCTTCCAGCCTCCCCCACACACCCCCTACAAGGGTAAACTCCCTCCTGTGGCGTCGGCGTCCCACATGCAGACAGTGTTCGACAGTAACGGCGTGTTCACCATCACCAAGGGCAGCCCCAGCGACAGCACCAACACGCGGCCACAGTCTGTCATCAGCCAACAGCCACTCACCATCCTTCCGCTGGCACCAGACTCACAAGGCAACAACAACAATAACAACACCGACACGGGCAGCAAGCACGATCGCCTGACGCTCTCTTCGTCTGGCAGTGACATGAGCAGGAAGACAGTGGCTACCAGCCCGGACAGTGTGCATCAGGACCCCCCTCACACTCCCGTCACCAGGAAGACGGTGAGTCGCTCGTGTGTTTGTCACCTTAATAACAACATTAGTGGGTCCGTGGCTCAGGTGTGAAGACGCTCAACTCGCAAGATCATCGGTTCGATTTCCGTTACGATTGTTCAGTAAAAATAAATAACACCTGAAGATTAACACTTGCAACTTATTTTATCTTGATATTAACCACCTGAGCGCTAACCTAACCCCCCAGGTAGCGTTCGCGTATTTAATAATCAAAATAATCAGGTAAAATAAGCTTGGGGCCAACCTTCAGGTGATCTCAAAATTAACACACTTTTCAATATCAGTTTTAATTTTCCATACATACACCTGTACCTCGTGTCTTAAAAGCTGCCACACACACACACACACACTACATGAGGTAGGGTATTAGGGTCTTTTCGTAAGTAGTTAAATCATCGTCCTCAAAAGGGTTAAACCATCATCCTCAGAAGGATAAAACCATCGTCCTCAAGGGGTTAAATTATCGTCCTCATCAAAGGGTTAAACCACCATACTCAAAAGGGTTAAACCATCATCGTCCTCAAGGGGTTAAACAGAAGGGGGCAGGAAACACACAGGTAATATTGAGGGAGGAGTCAGGTACACCAAGTGACAACAACCACACGTGTTTATCCTGTTATGAGTGTGGGCAGTATATAGAGACAGAGAATAAGATAGATAAAGGAAGGGGTAGTTGAGAATAGTTGGGATAGAGGGATAGATAAGATAGATATACACCTAGCCGCTGTTATTCACTTGGATGACGATTGAAGAATATGGGTCAAACAACTCATTGGAACTCACAGGGACACTCATACACTCCAAGGAACTCGCATACACTCATAAGAACCCACAGGAACTCACAGGGGCATTCATACACTTCCAGGAACTTACAGGGACACTCATACACTCCCAGAAACCCACAGAAATTCACAGGAACACTCGTACACACCAAGGAACTCACAGACACTCGCAGGGACACTCATACACTCCCAGGAACTCACAGAAACCCACAGAAACTCGCAGGGACACTCATACACTCCCAGGAACTCACAGAAACCCACAGAAACTCGCAGGGACACTCATACACTCCCAGGAACTCACAGGGACACTCATACACTCCCAGGAACTCACAGGGACACCTATATACTCCCAGGAACTCACAGAAACCCACAGAAACTCGCAGGGACACTCATATACTCACAGAAACCCACAGGGACACTCATACACTCACAGGAACTCACAGAAACTCACAGTGACACTCATACACTCCCAGGAACTCACAGGGACACTCAGGAACTCACAGGGACACCTATACACTCCCAGGAACTCACAGAAACTCACAGGGACACTCATACACTCCCAGGAATTCGAGTTTGGTAAGGTATTCATGGTTGGGGAAATTAAAGTTAGTGACCAAGTGAGAGTAATTATACAAAGTTTATGAATGATAACTTAATGTTGCTGAAGGGGAATTAGAAGTTGGTGAAGTAGTCTCATGGTGATTAGGAGCGTCTTGTTTGTTTCACCTGACGAGAGGGAGGGAAGGGGGGGTGCAGGAGGAAGGGAGAGGGGTGCAGGAGGAAGGGAGGGAGGGAAAGGGGACGATAGGAGGGAGGGATGGAAAGGAGTGCAGGAGGGAAGGTAAGGGAAAGATGAACGATGGGAGGGAGGGAAGGAAGGGAAGGTGAGGGAGGGAAGGTGAGGAAGGAAGGGAGGGAGGGAAGGAAAGTGGACGATGGGAAGGGGTGCAGGAGGGAAGGTAGGGGAAAGATGAACGATGGGAGGGAGGGAAGGAAGGAAGGAAGGAAGGGAAGGTGAGGGAGGGAGGGAAGGAAGGAAGGAGGTGCCGAGCATCTCAAGGAAACTAACTGACCAGAACTCATCACACTAAGTCCTCAACCAAGACTCATTTATATCTGTTTTATTTATCACAAGTACAGACCTCCTCCACACCCTTCCTTCCTTCCTTCCCTCCTACTCTTCCTTCCTTCCTTCCATCTTCCTTTCTATACCCAGTCACCCTCCCTCTATCCTTTCAATTTCCTTCCCTCCCTCCCTCCGTTCTACCCTTCTCCTTCTCTGCTGCCTCCCTCCCTCCCTCCCTCCCTCTGCTGCCCTCCTTCCCTCCCTCCCTCCCCTCCTCTACTGCCTCCTTCCTCCCCTTCCTCCCCTCCCCTCCCTCCTCTGCGCTCCCTCCCTCCCCTCCCTCCTCTGCTGCCTCCTTCCCTCCCCTCCCTCCCTCCCTCCCTCCTCCTGCTCCCTACCTCCCTCCTCTGCTACCTCCCTCCCTCCCCTCCCTCCCTCTACTGCCTCAACCCCCTGCCTCCTTCCCTCCCTCCCTCCCTCCCTCCCCCTCCCTCCCTCCCCTCCCCTCCCCTCCCTCTCCCTGCTACCTCCTTCCCTGCCTCCTTCCTCCCTCCCCTCCCTCCTCCCCTCCCCTCCCTCCCTCCTCTGCCTCCCTCCCTCCCCTCCCTCCTCTGCTGCCTCCTTCCCTCCCCTCCCTCCCTCCCCTCCCTCTGCTACCTCCTCCTCCCCTCCCTCCCTCCCTCTGCTCCCTCCCCTCCCTCCCTCTGCTGCCTCCTTCCCTCCCTCCCCCCCCTCCCTCCTCTGCTGCCTCCCCTCCCTCCCTCCCTCCCTCCCTCTCCTGCTCCCTCCCTCCCTCCTGCCTCACTTCCCCTCCCCCCTCCCTCCCTCCTCTGCTACCTCCCTCCCTCCCCTCCCTCCTCCCTCCTCCTGCTCCCTCCCTCCCTCCTCTGCTGCCTCCTTCCCTCCCCCCCTCCCCTCCCTAGTGCACCTCTGTGCTTCCAAATATTACTCCAGGTCTTGACACTGTACCACCACATACACACACGCACCTCTCCCCCTCCCCCCACACACACACACTGTCAAAAGGCTAGTACAGGTATACAAACAATGTATGTAGACTCTAACGCTAACCTAACCTAACCTAACCTAACCTAACCTAACCTAACCTAACCTAACCTAACCTTACCTAACCCTCACAGGTAAAGTTAAGGTGTTTGATCATCAGGTAAAATAAGCTGGAAGGTGGTCTAATGTTTCGGTGATCCCATTAATTATCTCTCTCTCTCTCTCTCTCTCTCTCTCTCTCTCTCTCTCTCTCTCTCTCTCTCTCTCTCTCTCTCTCTCTCTCTCTCTCTCTCTCTCTCTCTCTCTCTCTCTCTCTCTCTCTCTCTCTCTCTCTCTCTCTCTCTCAACACGACGTGAGGTAAGAGAGTGACTTGTTACAGGTTGTGGTGATCCTCAACACGCTGCTGGTGATGACCCTCTCTGCTTAAGTTAATTAGTATACCTGTCTTACTTACCTGAGGCTCCCCCACTACGTCAGGTGTTGTGGCCATATTGGGTCGTTTGGCGGAGGAGCTGAGAGGTTTCTGTTGACGGTTCTGTGTTTAGAGTATAGAACAGGTTAGGTTAGGTTAGGTTAGGTTAGGTTAGGTAAGGTTTGATTTGGTTTATAATTACGAACATTAGGACCAACTAATTTCACCTGATAGTTAAATACCCTAATCTAACCCTACCCTAACCCTAACCTACTCTAACCTAACCCTAACCTAACCCTACCCCTAACCTACCCTACCCTAACCAACTCCAACCCCTAACCCAACCCTAACTCCACTCTAACCAACCCTAATCCCAACCCAACCCCTAACCTACCCTACTCCTAACTCACCATACTCCTAACCCTAACTCACTCTAACCAACCCAACCTAACTTACCCTAACCCTGGTGGTGGTGGTGGTGGTGGTGGTGGTGGTGGTGGTGGTGGTGGTGGTGGTGGTGGCGGTGGTGGTGTGGTGGTGGTGGTGGTGGTGGCGGTGGTGGTGGTGGTGGCGGTACCTTCCATTAATGTCATTTACGGAGGGGGGCAAAAGGTCACTCCTGAGGGTCGATATAGCGAGGAATATTGAGCCTTGTGTACTGGTGACTGTAGGTCCGGGTTGTGTATGGAGCCGGGACGAGACACTCACTCCACCACGGCATCTCGAGAGGAGCCAAGCTATCATCTACGGGAGGGAGGGAGTGACGGGAGGGAGGGAGAGACAGGAGGAAGGGAGTGACGGGAGGAAGAGAGTGAGGGAGAGACGGGAGGAAAGAAGTGTGGGAGAGACGGGAGGGAGGGAGAGACGGGAGGAATGACGGGAAGAAACATTCACTCCCTCATCTCATCAAAAGGTCCCTCAGATGCCAACACTGTCCCACTTAGTTACTCCCAGAAATAATTTGTTAAAAGATTTGTTGATAACCATAAGAGGATTAATACTCCTTGGTATGTTAACTCTTATGGATCAGTTGAGGATGAGCTAGCCTTTCCCCCTCACCATCACCCCTTCCTCCTTCCCCTTTCCCCCTCACCATCACCCCTTCCTCCTCCCCCTTTCCTCACCATCACTCCTCCTTTCCTCACCATCACTCTTCCTCCACCTTCTCACAATTATCACCCTTCCTCCCCCCTCTCTCACCATCACTCCCCTTCCTCCCCTTCTTTGTCCTCTCTCAAAACGATTCTGCTTATGTTAGTCTAGGGATTGGTTAGGTCAGGTCAGGTCAGGTCAGCGACAATTATCTATCAGCTGTAATAATCTAGGGTGCTAATCTTCAGGTCATATCCCCAAAAAAAAATATATTCTCATGCAATTTAAATGAACATAATCTCACGTACTCATTAACTCAGGTGTGTTTTCCATGTACAGGTGAGTCAACACAGGTAATGCGTGACCTACCTGACGGTGGTTATATCATGCAGTAATAACACTGTCTTGCTTGAGTCGTCAGCTGGTGAACCGGACCTGTCATCTACTGCACTGACAATATCCCAATGGTCAAAAAAAAAATTACGGAGGAAAATCACATTATTTAACGTTCCATTGAATTATTTTACCACAAGATGAAAAGAAAAATCACGTGACGACTCTCTCTCTCTCTCTCTCTCTCTCTCTCTCTCTCCCCCCCTACACAGCCCCTGACGTCATCGTTCTTTAACA